GAGCGAGTTATTATCCGAGTCGGCCGCGCGTAGTCGTCGCGACGACGGGACGACGACGTCGCGGCGCGTCATGTCGCGTCGGTCCATCGACGGCGAATCGACCGACGATCGAAGAAATCGAGGAGGACGACGGTAATGGGGAAGGACGATCGGTTTCCAGGTATAATATGCGTATGCTGGATAGCGGGCATCCTGGTGGGCTTCCTGCCGCTCTTCGGATGGAACACCGGCCAGATAAACGACCACAGGTGTATCTTCACGAACGTCATGGACTACAATTATCTTGTGTTCCTATACTTCGCTACGATCATCTTTCCCGCCCTGCTGATCGCGGCTTTCTACGCCCATATATACCGGGTGATCGTAAAACAGGTCAGCCGTATGAAAAAGGGATTCCGAGGGTCCGATGACGCACGGAAAAAAAACTAGTCGTAAATCGAGACAAATATTCATGTATATGAGCAAGAATATATATAATCTTCTTAGACATTTTAATCTTTATCTGATTGAATTTGGCTCATATTTGGAATTCTCTTTTATCGATAATAGTGTTTCTAAGAGTGGCTTGTAAGTCAACTTCTGACTTGGCTATCACTTTTAGAATCACTTTTAGAATCACTTTTAGAGGCACTTTTACATGTATGAAGATTATAATATTCCTGCAATACAAATTCAATCAAATGAAGGCTAAAATTTTTCTAATAATAAAAAAATTATAATATTCTCGCTATATAAGAATACGTCGTCCTGATTTAAGATTAATTTTTTTTGTTGTGTGTGTGTGTGTGTGAGCGTGGCGCGACGCGACACGAAAAAAAAATAATCAAATAAAATAATCACCGGGAATAATCAAAGAGTGTAACGGGTACGACGATTATAGCTACAGCAAATCGTCACGATGGATCCCAGCGACGGGGGTGGCGGTGGTGGTACCGTTCGCCGTCTCGGCGTTCTCCGTCTCGGCGGTCGCGGGGGCGGTAATCATCACGGAGGGACGATGCTGCGGGTGCTCGGCGCGGCGCGCAAACGGGAGGTCAAGGCCACACAGAATCTTTCGCGCATCGTCCTCTTCTTCATCGTCTGCTGGTTCCCGCTGTACACGATAAACTGCGTGATGGCCTTCTGCCCGGGGTGCGAGGTCGACGACTTCCTCATGAAGTTCTGCATCATCCTCTCGCACATCAACTCGGTCGGCAATCCGCTCCTCTACGCCTACCACCTCAAGGACTTTCGCATCGCCCTCAAGAACTTCGTCTGGCGGCTGCTCTTCCCGCACAGCGACGTCAAGTCCAGCGTGATCAGCGTGATCCACGATCGGGGTTCCCTCATCGGTTCGCAGAGGCAACTCCAGAGGCGGTTCAGCGGCTTCGATCAGCCGAGAAGTCAAAGGTCGAGCCTGCTACGTCAGGTGTGTTGACGCTTAATTTATGCTTAACTTACGCTGAAAATTCGGCGAAATCTGACAAAAAATGTGGATCAGATGTGAATCACATATCCTTTTTTTAACGTGTCTTATTTTTAAGCGGGAAATATTTAATTTTTCTGTTTCTAAAAATAATTAATTTAAATGAACAACAGCTAGAAGTTAGTTTTCGTTAGAAAATTAAGCGACGTAATTCTATATTCGTTGTAACGAATGTTTATTTTGTCCAATTTATATTTCCGCCTAATTCGCGATCTATTTTCGTTCCTATTGGCTACCCACATAGGTGATAGATGGGAAAAGGATAGACAGCGTGTATACCGAAAGGCGTGTCTCGTCAATAAGGGAGAAAGAGACGCGGCAGACGAACGCCGACAGTGCGGTCGGAAGTGCGGTTCTAATCAACAACTCCGCTCCGGTGAACGAACGGATGAACGAGAAGGAACTGGCCGACGACGGCGATATCGTCGACCGCAACGACGACGCGACCGATCGCGGAATTTCTTCCTCGCTGGAATTGCGGACGTACAAGTCTTTGGTGCCGCTTCTACCCGCGGAGGAGGACCGCGTCGAAGAAACGCCGCCCGCATCGATCTTCGTGATCGAGGCCGACGTGGTGAATCACGCCTCTCCCGATCATCTCCTGGTTCTGGACGAATCTCGAGATAGAGTCGACGTGGCGGGCGGCTAACGCGGTAACTACGAAAAAAAAAAGACAATTGGAACATTTTTTAACAAGGCACAGACAAAAACGAAACTTTATATATTTTTTTAATTGTTTTGTCATAAAAATTTCTCAGTTTGTTAAATTATTTTATTCACCGAGCCTGCCATATAGCGTGTGTGTTTTTTTAGCGTAAGTTTAAACGAAATGAGGTAGATTGAGAAACAACGGTGATATTCGTCTAAAGCTTCGAGCGAAAAGAGGACACGAACGAAGTGAGAAAGTCTTTTTCTGTTTTATTCTGTTTTATAAAAAAGAATCATGAAGACAAATATTAAACTCGAGAACAAAAAATTTATTTTCGATTGTTCAACGAGGATGATGTGTTGTGTTGTACGTGGGATTTATTGTATGCAGAATTGTCAAGTGATAAAAATACCGAAGAGACAATATATTTAATATTGTACAATAGAACAGTGCACATTGTGATTACGCCTGTCTACGTGTTTCGTAGAACATTTGCACGATGCTTATGAAATACTCAGCATATCATGTAATTAACGTAACTAGACGATTGTCGTGCCATTCCTCCTATAATCATGTTTCCTCTTATAATCTTTGTATATAATATTTATTAAATGATACACTCACTAGGGGCATGCGTCAATATTAATAATTTTCTAAAAGTTATCAATATAACTTCGCGATATAAATAATTATCAGCTATGGGCCCATTATTAAAAATTCGACAAATTATTTTTTGGAGATAACGACTCTCATTATATATAATAATTTTAGTCTAATTTTGTTTTAATCAAATATTGACCTGCGACTTGATCAAAAAAGGAAATAAAATATTTAATTTAATTTTGAAGAGACAAAAAGTTTCCAACAAGATATTATCTTGTTCCTTATCCTCAAATAGGTTTCTAAATGCATATTTTCTTGTTTCTGAAAAACAAACAGTGCAAATTTATTATTGATAAAAATCTTGTTAAATTAATCAGTATGTATAACGCGCGTGGACATTTGAAAGGTGGGTTCTTTTAATAATCACGTTTTCCTTTCATCCATTTTTTTTTGTTTTTGGTATTTATTTATTTTAATATATATTATTTTATTATATTAAATGTTAGAGGAGCATTTATATGATTTTTTTTATTAAGACATTATTTGATATATTTCTCTAAATCCAGAAACGTCTCATCGTAACGATTTTGTAAGAAAATAAATCGTTTGAATATGAACGAATAAATGTGTAATAATGTGTGAGAGTTTCTGTACTCTAAGCATCCTCTGTATCATGATATTGTGAATGAATGAACTGATGTCATTAAAATTTTGCGCGTGTAACATATACATTTGATTTATTTACCATCCAATTTTATAAGTTATTTTATATTCTAATTTAGATTCTTTCGAACCATCAGCTCAATGTGTGATATCTTATTATTGTTTTCTTTCTGAAAAATTCTGTTATGTCCGATCGATATGAATAAGTTCGAAGTTCTAATCAAGAAAAGAAAAATTGTGCTATAATTTTACATCTAAAATAAAGGGAAAAAATGTGAGACTTATAAAAAAATTTAGCTATAAAAACAAACTTAACATTTTGTAGCTAAATTGTCCCTTTTATCTCTTTTATTTTTCTCCCACTCTCGCCTTTTTAATTATTATTAAAAAAAAATAAAATAAGGTAATGATATAAATGATATAATAATACAAATTATTATATTATTACCTTATTTTAGAGGCAAAAAGTTTAACTAACGCGATTACAAGGAACAAATTATTATCTTACTGTCATTATATAATAAATTTTTTAGGCGAAAATAAAAGTGCGAAAAGCTGTGGCGCTCAAAATGCAACAAGTAGCGGGAAAATATGGCGGCGGCTACAGTGACGCTCTGTTCCGTGCTTTCCCGCCTTTTTCGATTTATCATGTGTAGATCATAGATGAATACGTTGAAGTCGGTGTGTCAGTGTGTCGAGTCAAAATCGTCCGGAATGCGTTAAGAAACTACTGAGATATTAAATTCTAAGTGCGCGAGGAATCAAGGAACGTCCGATTTAAGGTTTAGAACGAAGTATGGATCCGAGCGAGGTCGAATTCCTCGGTGAGAAACAATTGGTTAGCATAGTTCCGAACTTCAATTCCGACGTGATCTACCTGATCTCGGGTTCGGTGGGACCGTTTCGCGCTGGTCTACCCGTCAAGGTGCCGATCTGGCTCGCTGTGTGTCTGAAACAGAAGCAGAAGTGTCGTATCGTTAGTCAAGAATGGATGGACATCGAGGACTTGAACGAGCGAAAGGAGATGGAGAAGATGTCCAAGTATGTCTTTTCAAAAATTCATTGTTATCATGTAATGCAAAGTTGCATTTATCTGCTGATTTCTCGTCTGAGTATTTCAGTACATCATGTCCGATTAGTAGTAAGATAAATTCCACATTTTCATTTCATTCATGAAAAATTTGATGTGCCAGGTTGTTTACAGAGATGCCAAGTTGTCATTATATGGATGAGAGTCAAATCTTGCTAAATGTGGCAAACGATGATATTCCTGACGCAGATGGAATCAGAATCGCTGTGAAGGTAAGTAGGTAAGTTTAATTGGATCTAGTATGAGAAGTACATTTATATGGAGGATTGAAAATTATATGTAGGAATTGTTCTATTGTAGGACATATGGGATACAAGAATGTCTAAATTGCGCACATCCGTTGATGCTTTTGTAAAGAGTGAAGGAGTGCATGCGAGATTGGATCATCTTACTGCTATGGAGATCAATGGTATACGTCCACTATTGCCACATGCGTTAGATCAAATGTTACGGATACAGGCTGTAAGTATAGAATTAAAAAGTTTTTTAATTTATTTCTTTATTCTGCTTTTTTATGTATGTACACATTCAAAATCGCCTAAATGAAGTTTTTATTATATATCTTATTTTTTTGGTATCAGATGATTTAATTTGTATGTATATTAGATATAATAATTCGTCGCAGACAAATAATTTTTTAGTCACAGTATATAAGATATACTAAAATTTTGGGAAGAATAGACCTGTTTTCAACAGCCATGATTACAAAAATTATTTTACAAATAATCTTGTTTTCATATTGTTGCATTTTTGCAGGCGAATATAGGAGAAACAAATTCTCAGCAAAGTGGAAGTAATAGTGCAAGTAGTAGTAGTACCTATTAATAGTAATGGTAATAGTGTGTGTATAAATAGTATGTAATAATATCTAGTTATTTATAATGTGTGTATAAATAGTATGTAATATCTAGTTATTTATATTAATGCTATTATGATATTATCAATAGAGAGATGATTATTTTTATAATTTTTATACAATTTAAGTGTTTCAATCAAGAAATCACATTTAATATTTTATTTTCTATATGTATGTTATAATATATATAAATCTTAATATGTACTTTAGTATTTGAATATTCAAATGTATTGGATCACATAGTACAGATATAGGAAATAAAGAAGTATTTAAAACAAGATATATTTTATATGTGAATATTGTATAACACTTTTATTAGCTAGCTTGTTCTCAAGATGTTACATATATTCACTAGCATATCTCGATCACATTTTCTCATTATCGCTATATATAATAGGTGCGTATTTACATCAGTGAATCATTGTCTCGATTACTTTATTCGTTGTCCATTATCGTATGGCATTCCGCATTTATATTTACATTTATACTAAATTTATAGTACATACAGTCCCTTAACAATCTTTGATTTTTTCTCCTTAAAAATAACTGCGTAATTATAAGGCCACTTAGAAAAATCGAGGCATTTCATTCGTTTATTAGAGCTTTCGAAGATTTAGATTTGTGTAATGAATAAGAAATTATTAGATAAATAGTAAAATTATTTGCAAAATATCGCGCGATAAATAGATTAATATTAAATTTCAGTGTGCTTCAATTCTATAAGAAAATAGAAATTTACATGAACAATAAAATCTCTCAAAAAAATAAAAGAAATACAAAAGATTAGGAAAAAAACGCATTTTGACTCATTACATTTGGCAGTGTTAATAAATTAACAATTATTGACAATATTCGTGCATAAATAAATGAAAATTTTGTATTACGATTCGAGAATTATTAAACAGGCAGGTTTCTCGTTTTTTCAATCAATTTAAATTTGAACTACCGTGACTTATTTAAAGCGACATAAGTACGTTCTGCTCAAGCAAGTACTTGGAAATATCACATAAAGTCCGTTTTCAGAAACTTAATGTTTCTTCAGATTTATTAACATGTTTCCTTAGACCGCTACGATTTTACTAGGATCAACCTTAACTCGAATAAACATAGTGTCGTCTTTAACGAAATGTCGCTTTTTCACCATTTCGTGAGAAACAAATCTTGGGAAGCCAAAACCAAGAGAATCCGGTTCGCGACTCGGTCGTTGAAAATTCTTCCAAGTTGGATCTGGTATGAAGCTTTCCACAATATTACAGGCCTTTTCTGCCACGACTGTTTGATCGAACATCGTGAATGATACACTGTGCGAAAACGGCCACCGGAGAAGCGCGTCATATTCGCCAGGCAGTATCTTTATGTATATAGAGATATGACTGCCCTCTCCAGTCCCATTTCCGTTTAAGAAAATGGAAGCCTGTAAAATCGAAAACTTTTTTTAACAAATTGAGATTCAACAATTTTTTAGTTATACAGATGATGCAACTATTTACAAATGTTCATCAATATCACAACAATAAAGATAGCCAAATTTAGAATAAATGGATTCTCTTTTATATATTTGAAAAAAAGGAGTAACTAATACCAAAAAAATACGTAAATGAGAATACGTAATTGAGAAATTAACTTTTTTCCTTATTATGTATCTTATATAATAATTGTAATAATAATTCTTGTTATACAATGCTATTTAAAATTCTTGACTTGCCAATTGTATTTATATTAAATTTTGATTATATTAATTTACTTTTATAATATGCAATTTGAATACAATTTATTCTGTGAGAAGCTCATGTATTATAATTATAATATTATACATTCATTATGACTGTTTCTGAAGTGAAGTATCACATGACTTATTATTTATGTCCAACAATTCATTGTTAAGATAATCAAGAGAATAATGAATATCAAAAAGAAAATCGGATTGAAAGTTGCAACTGAATCTAAATTATTGATTTATATAGTGTGTCTTATATGTACCTGTAATTTATATCCGTATTGACTAGTATAAAAAGGTGGACTAATAAGCTCCATCCCTTCTTTCGCTTTCGCTTCTGACATTTTAGCAGCATAATCCGTGATCTTCCATATAAGCGTGCCCGTGTAATTTAACGATAGCTTGCTGATCGCCGATTTCAAGCTGGTTATTTGGTGTTGCTGCTTCGTCACCAGACTACACATAAGACTTAGATGCATCTTTGCAGACTCCTCCAAATGTTTATCCAGCGAGAATCTATTTCCCTGTTCCAAAAATATCGTGGCGTCATACTTTTTGAACTATAATATTAATAATGAATGCTCTTTACTTAAAAAAATATGATAAGATTTTATCGTTTAATTTTTCAAAAGTCTTTTATTAAAGAAAATTATAAAGAAAATTAATTATAAATTATTTCTTAAAATTACTCGAAATTATGATCTAATATTTGAAGTTTCAAATTGATTAATATTAAGCAATGTATTTCTTTTTTATTTGTTCTATTTATCTATTCACGCGAAGGAAAATCATAGTTTCCAATATTATAAAAAACTGAAATCCAAAAAATTAAAATAAAGAAAAAAAAACATCAAATACTTTGTCATATTTCGATATGATGATACTTGAAACATATAAAAGAAATTTCGGATTTCTTCATAAATCAATCTCTTATTTCAAATGTGGGGTATTCCATTTCGCAGAAATAAACCTGTTTTCGCTACGCTTTAATTTATTTATCTTTTATTCAACGGATATAATGCACGAAAAAATAGTACCTTGAAGCGGCAACCGGCGTCCTTGAATGTACAGGAAAGTAGATGCGTGGTGCAATGATCCTTCAGATGAACCTCGAGATCTTCTCGAGGTAGTACCGCGGTTTCGCAACGATGAGGACATGCAACCGGGAATCGACCGCATTTCGCGTGATGAGCGCCAAGCGTATCAAAAACGAATTCTTTGTTACAGTAACGACAGGCGACCAGTCTTTTAGCGCACTCTCCCAGCTTGTGTTGGCCGAGGTGTCGCCTCTGCACCTTCATTCCACACTTGTTTTCGCAATAAAGAGGCTCGTAGCCGCATGTCCCCGTGTGTTTCTGCAAGAATTATATTTACTTACAATTATTTTCGGAATCGAATAATTCTTCAAGGAGTCGATAAAAATCGAATTTCCAAGAAAGAATTCCTAGAAAGAATTCGTTTATTTCGAAGTAAAAAAAGAAAGATAAAAAAAGAATAGAAAGTAGTTGGTAGTTGGTAGTCTCGATAAGATTGACTTCCAAGTGTTTCCGAGAACTTGAGGCTCAAGTCTCATTAATTCTCGGAATTCATTTTACCTCTAGAGTGTGTCCGGTGAATTCTTTGGCACAAAAGTCACAACGGGCCCTACGCTGAGCACAGGTATACTTCAAGTGATCCTCCATGAGTACACGAGGAATCATCGCCCCGCATTTATTGCCGCAAGGAACTGCATCGTGTTTACACGTGTTCAAGTGCGCCTGTGATAAGAGGCAAAATCTAAATTTAGTCGGTCCGTTCGCGATCTCATTTTCCCATCCCGCAATACCGATTTCGGTATTTCCTCTTTATGATGACTTTACCTTCAACTTCCTCAGCTCATCCGACCATTTGCAACCGTCCTTGTGATGTATGCAGTATACGATGGAGCCCATTATTGCCTTCTTTGCCTCCGTATCTGGGAAGTTCTGAAAAAGATCAAGACGAGGAAGATGTTATTTGCCTTTGTCCGTTTCGCCGTTTCGCCGAAATGTAAAACAGTCGGTGCGCATACACCGTAACCCGAAATGTAAACGTCTGGATTATTAACCGATCAAAATCTGAAGTTCTCCGAGAGTCTTTTGGCGAAGTTCCGTTATCTCGCTTCAAGATCCTCTGACTGTTCCGCGAAATATTTGCACAGTAAAATATTTTTATAATCCTTCTTAAATCATAGACAGTTTCTCCTTCCCTTATTGGAGATATAAAGGAGAAATATTTACTTTACGAATAATCGTAAATATTGCCATCATGAACATTTTAATTAATTAATTATTCACAGACTCGAACAGCTCGAACCGAGAATTATTTATTTCGAACCGTTTGTTCCGCAATTTAATTACCTGAATCTGTAATAGTCAAAATACAGATTCAAATTATTTAGAATAATGCCACTGGACTACCTTTTGAAATAGAAAAGCGATAATGGAGAGCCTCGCTGTGGGAGATGTTGCCTCATGCAGAGAACCACGTGGATGGTTCAAACCAAGAATATTTTAAACCTATTGTCACATTGTTTGAGGTTAGTGACACGAGTCTATTTCCAAATTTATTTTGATAGAAACATCAATGTCAAAAATACTTTGTTTTTACATCATCGAACTAACATATATAATAATAATTTAACAATATATAGCAATAATAATTTGTGCCAATCGGAAATAGTGAAGAAAAAATTTTTAATACAATTACATAGTAGTAGTTTAATACAATGATTCGTTGTTTCGAGAATTTTGGAAGAATTTTAGTAAAGAGGATTGCCTCAAGAATATATCCTCGTCATGTCAGTTTAGTACAAGACGAGTTTGCAAAGGGGGTTGACATAATAATTGAGAAAAAAGTGTGTTAATATAGGCGCATCGCTGGGAACAATTTTAAATTTCTCTCTTTACGTATGCGACTTCTTCGTCGAGATCATTTCCTTGAAAAACGTGCCAGTTCAGGAAAGGGAGTCGTGAGATGTGATCAACCTTTATGCCATTCCTACATAGATAGACATCCGGCATATAAATGTGCGTGTGCGAGAACGAACAACACGCTCGAAGGTGCTTGCAAGTTGAAACCTGCATGACCAGCAAGGTCGAAGAACCTAACGCAACCAGCCCAGCCGTTAGCGGCGAGATACAACATACAAACAGAAAAGAAATGGAAGAGACGGGTCTTCTCGCTTTCGAGATCGTTTTAAAATCGCTTTCATATCGAACACTTCGAAATTTGAAACGCTTTGAGAAAAAGAAAACGAAGACACGTGTACGATACGAAAGTGGAGAACTTGAATTATTACTTATTAGCGACACAGGCTTAAAATAAACGTCGAAAGAGATAAGTTGGAGCATAATCAAACGCGTCGTGTAAAAGTGTAAAAGTGTCATATCGAAAGGATCGAGAATTAAAATTGAAAGATATTGAGAAAGAGATAGAGTTACTAATAACGAACAAACGAATAAAATTCCGCTCCACTAACGTAAGACGTCCAGTGTTCTCTTTTCGAATAAGGCTCTTTTCACATATTAAATCTTCAATATTAGAATACCAGGCACCGCGGCAGGTAAGCATGACGTTACGGTAAAGTAACGGACAATCGATCTTCGCATGTTCCACTTATTCTTCGTACCTCGCAGCTTCGAATGTTCAATGTTCAACGTTTAATGTCATTGCCATCATGAACGATCGATTGGTGTAATTTATGGATTTTTTTTCCTTTGTCCGCGTGACCTCGACGACGCAGGTGCGATCTAGATCAAGAATGTTTTATCAACGAGCAAATCTTGATTGATATTCTCGATTATTATCCTTTCAGGTTGCATAATTATTTGTCATTTCGTATTATTCCATTTTTTGAATATTGAAGAGACAATATTGAAAATTTGATTAATTGCTCGCGTTACTCCAATTAACAGTTTTTATCTTCATCAGGCTGTTTCAGGTTGGGGCTTCTTTAAGCGAGCTCTATTGAATGTATCGTGCTCGATGTAAATGGCTAAAAATGAGATGTAACCTTACGCTCGCCTTGACGATATCAGTGTATTCCCACGAATTCGACCACTGTTGCGAACTCCATTCGAATGACCAGCTCTTTTTGAACGTACGGCCTTGGCGAATGGTCGAAAATTAACATACGCGACGACGTGCCTCCTCGGTCTCATCGCCTCCTCATTCCCAAAAAAAACGACCGAATCAATCGAATAATAAAACTGAGGTAATAAAGACCGGACGTTTTAACTGTTCGAAGCACGGCAATCACGATACAAAATTGTCTTTTTAGTTTTTTCATGTTTCAAATTCACTCCAATCTTCCGAATGGTAGCTTCATCATTGCTCGACCATTACTTTGCAGATAACTGATTAATAACTGATTTATCTATGATGCTTTCAGTCCTATTAGATCTCGAAATAAACACGATATTATTAAGGATCAATATGATCAGAGTTTAATGTAATATAAATAGAAACACAACTCAACGCGCACATTCCAAATGTCTTTATATCTCTCTCAAAATAGACATTTTAAATTCTTGTAATATCTTACATAATCTTAATCCATTACATATCTTATATCATTCGTCACATATATGTATGTATTTATATTACATAAATATTACATATACATTTTCGACTTCTTTAGTAGATCTTTTTTTTCTAAAGGAAGTTCAATTTCTCCTATCCTTCAATGTAGCGAAGGCAAAGATTTTCGGATTCTATGTCACAATTCCTACAAACTAGGTGGAACTCGTGAAGAAAGAAAGAGTGATTCCTATTCTTTCTTATTCACGTGTTTTTCCACGCGGAATATTTTGAGAATTGTACATAAAATTTTTCAGAGGGAGAGAGAGAGAGAGAGAGAGAGAAGAGAGAGAGAGAGAGAGAGAGAGAGAGAGAGAGGAGGAGGAGGTAGG